ATTTAATTTCAGAAACTTAACAAACTTACAAATGTTAACTGATAATATTTTTTTAATTAAAGATGAAAAACTATCTTAATACAGAATTAACATCTATCTTCATTTTATTGCAATTTGTGCTTCAAATTTGCTATTTCTGTTAATTTTTCTAGAATTTGTATTCATGTTGATTAAATTTTTTTAATTGCTGTCCATCTTTCTTTCACGACTTCCAACTATATAACTGCTGAATATAATCTACAAAAAATTAGTATAAGATTGCACTAAATCTTAATTCTATGTTGAAACAAGTATTCATAATAAGGTTTGCTTTTAGCAATTAAGTCATAAACATATTGAGGATATTCAATTTCTTCATCATTACTGATTGATTTGTCAAATCCTGTGCTTTGCATTATATTCCTTTTTTATTTAAAATATGTACATAGTTAATATATAAAAAGAAAAATCACTTAAAAATAATAAACATACTTATGCCACAAATAATCTATATTAGGACCTAACAATTTTAAATCCCATATATTCGACCTTTCTTCTTTCCATTTTAGTATTTCTTTCTTAAACTCTACGTTAACCATCTCACAATATTTTCTCAAAATTTTCTCCGGTTCTCGAAGTAAGTCATCAGCATCTACTAAAACAATCTCCTCTTCAGTTATGTTCTTAATTAAATCATAAAGAAACCTTGATTCTTTTAGCCAAACTTTTTTAGGAAAAAAAATGTTATACCTTTCAGAATTAGATACGCAGACATTATCCCAAGCTTCATATATAGAATTCGCAGCTTTATAAAAAGACTTTACAGATTTTTCTAGATTTTTAATTATGAATGTATATTTAAATTTTGAAAGAATTTCTTTGGATCCTAATAGATTTCTTTCTAGCTTTCTATATAAAAAATTGAATACATGATCCTTCACAAAAATGTGTTTTATCATCATTATAGTAATGAGGAGCAAGAATTTTATTAAGAGTAGGCGAGAAATGATGTACAAAAGTGATCGGATCAGTAGGTTTAGGTAACGGAATTTGATTCAAAAAATCAAAGTTTTTGGTCACATAAGCACAACTAATTAAATTAATTGGTTCATGGATAATATAGAATTCTTGAGGACGTTGAAGAAACGGTCGTTCAAAAACCGTAGAGAGAGATCTTGGATGTGACCAAAAAAAAATAGGTCTTTGATCCACCATAAATGAGCAAATTCAATCTTATCTTCCTTTATTAAGTTGTATAATAAATTAATACTAAGAGACTCTTAGTAAATTAGAATAATCTAAAATAGAAATATAGAAGTTGGATAGTACAGATTTGCTGAATTTATATTTAATTTGTTTAATTTTTAATTTTGCCCGGAACTAACTTAATTTGCTTGAAATTATATTTTAAAATAGTCAACAATTCAAAAATTGTTTATGGTATTTTACACACCTATGTATACATTATTACAAAACTATCTAATTAATCACTTAAGTAAAAATGTTCTAAACCATGTCCAAACTCTAAAATATTAATCCGAAAGGTAAAAAAATTTGTGTTAAAAATTTTTTTAAAAAAATATAAGAAATATAA